AATCTCTGGATGACAGGAACAGCCGTATAAGCTCCGAGTAGTTCTGTTCGGTCACACCCAATTCCGATACAGTCTGTCCCAGCCGCGTTCTGCCTCTGAAATATCCTGGTCATTCTGTCATCCTGGAAGGAAAAAAACATACAGGAGTGTTCTAGCGGTGACAATGATCCCCAGACATATTTAAGCGATTCCTTTTTCTTTTCCCCCTTGACTTGCCTTTTTCTCTTCGCAAAATCGGAAAACTCCGCCCCATTGGTGCCCCTGCTTATCGAAAATCAAGAACTTCAGTGAATCGGAGCTATCGGGAACCAAATAGTTTGGTAAGCCGCTCGAAATCGAAAAAGACCGGAAAATCGGAATCGAAAAAGCAAAACTCACCGTTTTCCAGTAGGCAATCCAGGATACTCGAGTGCCAACCGGAAGAGAGATCGAGTAAGTTGAAGAACTTTTTCGAAGTGCTCCACATCACCAACAAGACCTGCACAGAAGGCACCCAATGACGGTAACGAGGCAGGATCTAGAAAATACCGTATGAGAGCGTTAAGGTCACTGAATACTTCGGGTTACTGGATCTCTATACTGTGAAGTAGGATTCAGTTGTGGGAGTTAGAAGAAACTCTCGAAGCAGGTGACCCAATTGGCCGGTTGTCATTAAAGTTACGGCCCTTAACGGCCAAAGTGACATCAAAGTGGGAGGCACTTTATGGCTCAGCGGGAGGCACCTCAAACAGCTTCTCCCAAGTGGTCCCTTCATTGTGGATCATACTGCTTGATAAGGATTCCTAGGGAAATAAGTTAGGTGAACTTACCTATCTCCAAAACCCGACTGAAATTCCTGACAAATTCGTGGACCATCAACGCATCGGCAAACCCAACGCCGTTCAGTCGTAGATTCTCCACCCGCGGTAGATCAGGTACAGGCTAAATCACTCGTTATCAAGATTTACAACCATTTATCATTCCCAATGACGATCCACTCGACACCAACTCACCCGGATTTCAGTCAACAATAAATCATCAATTGGTTCACGGCTCCATTTGATCTTGTCCTCATCGTCATACACTTCCACTGGTGATTCCTCCACCTCATGAGTGTGCTCAGCAACCTGAAATGAACCATAATGCGAATGCTGGTCCTAAAATGAATACCGAATGCCCAGAATACCTCTTCTGGGGTCACGGCTC